TCATAATTTTTTCAACATCTCTTACCGAGCATTTAAATTCAATACAATTAGTTTTTTCAAAACTTGCTGAAGCCAATTTAAAATTTGCAGTTAGATAAATGCGAATTTTTAAAAAAAAAAGCTAATTTTTTGGTCATATCGTTACTCCTAACGGCATAACGGCCTTTAAAAGTTGAAGCCATAGATTCGTATCCAATTCCAACAAAATTAAAAGAGATCAGAGCTTTCCTTGGGTTAACCGGTTATTATCGTAAATTTATCCCAATTTACGCAGACATAGCAAAACGAAAGACCAAATGTTTAAAAAAAAGGAGCTAAAATAGACGTACAAAGTCTTGACTACATAGAAGCACTACAAGCAAAAACTTAAAGCTCTAATAATTCCAATTCTCCAACTTCCCGGTTTCGAAAAATAATTTATTTTAACCACAGATGCCAGTAAGTTAGCCCTTGGGGCAGTACTTTCACAAAATGGTCATCCTATATACTTCATTAGCAGAACACTTAAAGAACACGAATTAAATTACAGTGCTATCGAAAAGGAATTACTCGCCATAGTTTGGGCCACTAAAACTTTTCGACATTATTTACTAGGACGACACTTTCCCATTGCTAGTGATCATCAACCTCTTAGATAGCTACATATCTTAAAGGAACCGAATGCTAAGTTACAAAGATGGAGAGCTATATTAAACGAATACCAATTTAAAATCGATTATATTAAAGGGAAGGAAAATTCAGTTGCTGACGCATTATCAAGAATTGAAATTGAAGAAAATCATCATAGTGAAGTAACTCAACATAGTGCAGAAGAAGACAAGGGCAATCTCAATTATTATCGGATTAAACTTCGTGGCGAACGCTCACAATTTTTGACGCTGCCCATTTAAACTTCGCATACACGTGGAAATATAATTAGTTATATATATATCCAATCTCATAAAACAAGAGTTGGGATATTTCAATAAATTTCCGTGTTCGATTCGTGTGAAAGTGGCAACGAGATTCGACCCCGAGGCGTAAGGAAGGCCAGGCCTATATAAGAGCATTTGGTTGCTCTACAGCCGACTGCCCCCCGTCTCGTCGACCCCCGCATCAGCTCATGGTTTAAATACCGTCGCTCCAAGAAGAGGCCACGAGGCGACATAACCTTCAGCCAACGAGTTACGCAACCGGCCACCTGCCGAATGATAACCAGCCAAATATATTGGAAGGCTGCAGCTCGTGCAGATTATTCAGCTATGCAGAAGTTTAGACGACCGGAGCAGATTTAATTACATTTGAACATCATCATCGTCACGCAGTGAAGATCATCTCCTATGACCAACGGAGGTCCAACTTTGTGATTTCGTCTTATCGCAAAGCAGCGTAGCAGCCAGCGGTTCCTAAGGTCTTATCGCTGCAGTGCTGCAGTTATATTTCGTGTTTTGTTTTGATTCTTGATTTTCTTTTGTATTGCGATTTATAATGAATTAAATACTCGCAGATTGACGGAACTTTTGGCATTTGAATAGGAATTTAACTTAGAACCTTTAAAGTTTGACCTACAGCTCGACAATGTCAACGTGAACTTGGGCCCAACTTTACGCACATCATGGAGTGGATATTTAAGGTCGTGAGTACTACAACAACAATAATAAAAACATTATTATGAATTACCTATATTAAAATTCTAACAAAATGCCACTCGAACGTCTAATTAAAATAATATCTGCATTTGACTAAAGATTATATAATTATATTTGTAAATTTTATATTCAATTACTTATATATATTTGCTTTATACTTTACTTTTATATACTTTATTTTACCCATTGAATATAAACAAAAATGAAGAGTTAGAGAATGACTAGGATAATTATGCGTAGATAAAAATATTGTTAGTTTGTAAAAGAGATTTAATGGAAACGTTTATTAAACTGAATTTATATAAATGGAATTATGATTGAAGATATATTGAAAAATAATGAATTGTGAATAAATAGATTTAATGGTTTGTCGAGTACTTATGTTGAACACTTTCTTAAATATGTGGTAGAGTTATTTTGAACTTGGCCAAGGGACAATGTAAATATTTTAAGTAGCATTGTCATGGTAGGGAGGGTAAAGACTTAGGGAATCATTAACATCCAAAATTCCCAATAGTTATCAGAATCTATAGCTTATCTTAACATGTGTCGGCGTGTATCATTAGTATCAATATAAAGCCATTTCTTTTATTAATCGTTAGTCCACATTTGAATATTGTTTATGAGTAAGACGCACTTATTAAAATGTAGTAGCGTTTCGTACTATCCTAAGCTAAAAGAACCCCGACCTACGGCGAGCTAGACCCGAGCATAGCAAGAGTGCGCATCCCTAGCGAAGGAAGTACAAGGTCCTCTTTATTAGTAATTACCACCCACTATTAAAAGACCAACTAGTTAAAAATCTATCGAACTACGTACACTACAATTACCACAATTCAATATGATTATATGATTATGATATTATTATATGATATGACATTCGAAAAGGCTAAACAAATTTTACATGATCATTTTATTCATAGAAGCATAACCATTTATATTGAGAGCGATGTAGATTTTGAAATTATCCAAAGAGCACACAGAGAAATTTTTAATACCACCTACACTAAAGTAATTCGCAGTCTCTTCCTATTAAATAATGTTGGTTCAAACGACGAATTTAAAGAAATCATACTTCAATCACATAAAAAACTTTTACATCCAGGTATACAGAAAATGACAAAATTATTTAAAGAAAATCACTTCTTTCCAAATAGTCAACTACTAATCCAGAATATAATAAACGAATGCAACATATGCACTTTGGCTAAAACAGAACATAGAAACACCAAAATGCCTTTTAAAATCACACCTAATCCCGAACATTGTCGACACAAATTTATGGTAGATATTTATTCATCTGAGGGAAAACATTACATCAGTTGCATTGACATTTATTCTAAATTCGCTACACTTGAGCAAATTAAAACAAAGGACTGGATAGAATGCAGGAACGCATTAATGCGCATTTTTAATCAGTTAGGCAAATCCAAATTACTAAAGGCAGACAGAGACGGAGCTTTCTCCAGCTAGACTCTAAAGCGATGGCTTGAATCCGAAGAAATCGAATTGCAACTCAACACGGCAAAAACCGGAGTAGCAGACGTCGAAAGATTACATAAGACAATAAATGAAAAAATCCGTATAATCATTCATCTGCTGATGAAGAATTAAATTAAGCAATTTTGAAACAATCCTTTATACATACAACCATAAAATTAAACATGACACAACTGGACAAACACCTGCTCAAATTTTCTTATACGCTGGTCATCCAATATTAGACACTCAAAAAATTAAAGAAAGGAAAATAGATAAAATAAATGAAGATCGACAGGAATTTAATATTGACACTAAATGCAGAAAAGGTCCACTTCAAAAGGGAAAATTAGAAAATCCATTTAAAGTAAATAAAAATGTAGAACAAATAGACGATGACCATTACAAAATTACTAATCGAAATAGGGAAACCAAATACTATAAAACACAATTTAAGAAACAAAAGATAACTAACACCGTCAAACTTCCACAGTAACTTTGTGTATAATGATGTTGCTTCTATTATTCACCACGGGCCATACTCAACATATTCAAATAACCAACCCAGATTCCGATCTTGGCTATTTACTCTTCTCAAGTAATCCAATTCAAATACCGGTAGTATATGAACATCACTGTCTAAGAATTAATTTAACGGAAATCAATGTTATAACAAAATCTTTTGGTAACAAAATCGCAGACTCACCTAAAATGAAATATTTGTACAACAAACTATTGAACGAATTAAATTAGGCAAAAACGCGGACTATTCGACATAATAGGTTCATCTTTTAAATTTTTTTTCGGTACACTTGATGAAAATGATAGAGTAAAAATTAACAAAAAAATAGATTTAATTGCAGAAAATTCAATTCAAGTTCATAAATTAAATGATGTCGTAAAATTTGTGAATGAAGGACTGCAGAAACTCACCAACTACGTAAATAATCGCAATAATATTGACACATATATAGATTCATAGACGAGTATGAACTCACGCAATTTATTGAGTATATAGAAGACATAGAAATGGCCATACTTTCACGTTAATATTAACAGCCAGAATATACTTTTAATCAAAACATCAACTTGGATTGACAAAACAAATAACGAACTATTACTCATTTCACATATTCCTATTAACCATAAAATCTTGAACACCATTAAAATAATTCCCTATCTCGACCATAATGGGTATCAGTAGACCATACAGATCAACAATCATATTTTGAAGATGAGAATAAAATTTATAATCAAGACAAAACAGAAGTTAATGATGAATGCATTAAAAACATAATTAAGCGCAAGAATCTAATTTGTAATTTTATACCAACTCTCTCGAAAGAAATAATCCAATACGTTGAACCAAATATTGTACTTACATGGAATCTAACTGAAACTAGAATCACACAAAATTGTCAAAATCTAAATGGCGATATTAAAATAAATGGAAACAAAATTATAAGAATAAAACGTTAAGATTAGAAATGTTATTTTAAGCGAAAATTCGTTAAGTCCAGAATTTGATTTAACTCCGTTGTATTTACCAATTAATGTAACTAAAATTAAGATAGTAGAACACAACGACGTTTTAAAATTAATTTCAGAAAATACTACCACATTCTATGCAACTATAATATTTTTTGTTATTGTTCTTATCATTTTTCTTATCAAAAATTTGAACACTAAATCCACTTACTGTTTTATATACAAAATTTAGAAAACAAGCAAAAAATAATCAAGAACCACAACAAGAAATAGAACCGTCACAAATACAGTTGCCCGCATTGTACACTGAAATGTCAGCCCAAGCATAGGCAACTGTTTTAAGGGAAGGGAAGTGACATATTTATTCGACTCAATTATAATAAACATTTTACTATATATAATTACGTTTTTATATACTTTTGAGTCTATTAAATAGACCGTTGTAGTAACTAAGACCAACGCTGTAACCGAAGTTTTGTCAAATAAAAGAAATTACAAATCGGGTTGGATTGTGACCTTTATTGTTCAGTATTCATCTTAAGACTAAAAATCAAATGCAAGTGAGATTGAGGAGCAGCCTCAATATTTTAGGAATATTGTATTTTGGGAGAGCGTTGCTCTTGGATACTTAAGTTTGGGAGAAGCTTCATTGAGAGCATTTATTTTTTCGTGTGCACTGGCTTAAAATTACAAATTGGTTTTAAGTGTTTAATAATATTGGTGACATATTCTATTCATTGTTTATTTCTTTATTTTCGGCATTGTTAACTTTATTTGCTCTTTCAAAAAATGATTGTCTGTGTAATCTAGCTAGATATATAGATATCCGTTTGAGTCTGGAGAAGTAATTATTTTAATTGTGTTTATTAGTGAAAAGTTAATGGGTATGTGGGATATGATTAATAATTGGTTATCATTGTAGTTAATCCAAGTGGGTGTTCTAATGTTTAAAATATTCTAGCTATTCACATTCTCAAGTTTGTCATAGTTTAGTAATTTGGGGTTAAACAGTCCGAATCTGCAATTCTGCATGGCCATTTCCAAATCTTCTATGTATTCTGTAACCTGCATGAGTTCGAATAAAAGAGTGTTAATGATGCTGTTATTATTTTCATAATTCTGTATCTTTTGCATTCCGTCATTTATCAATCATATAGAGTCGTTGAGTTCATGTAGTTTTACTGAGTTATGGGCGTTTATGTCAAGTTTCTCCTGTATATTTAATCGATCATTTTCATCGAGTGTGCCAAATAGATGTTTAAAAACTGAGCCCACAATGTTAATAAGTCTCCGTTTGTTTCTATGTTGCAGAGTTATTCCGGCTAGTTCTCTTTTAATTTTATTGTATAAAAATATGACCTGGGGTGCATGGTAATCTGTTCGTAGCCTTTGTTCAAAATAGTCAGCTACGATGTCTATTTCAGTTAAATTGATTCTCAAGCAATGATGTTCAAAGATGGATGGTATCTGGATTGGCTTATCGGAAAAAAAGAAGGAGATGGTTGGTGTCAATATTATTAATTTGAATTTGCTGTCCATGAACCGCTGTGATCACCACAAGCAATAATGCTATCAGGTCAATGCCTGTGAAATTGAAAATTGATTATTTTTATATCGCTTTTTAAATTGTGTTTTGTAGTAGTGAGTAACTCTATTTCTGTTAGTGATTTTGTAATGGTCGGAGTCCGTTTGCTCAAAATTTTTGGTTGTCTTAAATGGATTTTGGAATGTGCCTTTCTGTAGTGGGCCTTTTCTGTATCTCGTGTCGACTTCGTATACCATTCTGTCACTGTTAATTTGGTTTATTTTGTTTTCTTTGTTTTGTTGGGTGTCCAAAATTGGTTGTCCAGCGTAGAGAAATATGTGTGCAGGGGTCTGTCCAGTGGTATCGTGTTTGGTCTTGTGATTGTATATGTTAAGTATTGTTTCTATTTTGCTTAATTTGATTTCGTCGTCGTCGGATGTTTTGATTATGCGAATTTTTTTTTTACCAGTTTTTGTTCTTTTAAGCTGCAATTCAATTTCCTCACTCCCCAGCCATCGCTTTAGGGCCACACTGGAAAATGCGCCGCTCTGTGTGCTTTTAGTATTTTTGGCTTGCCCAGCTGGTTGAATATACGCATAAGTATATTTTTGCATTCCAACCAGTCCTTTGTTTTTATTTCTTCTAATGTGGCAAATTTCGAATAAATGTCCGTGCAACTAACGTAATGTTTGCCTATGATGAATTTTACGCGGTTTTCATTGGCATATCTGTGTTACGGTGCTCTGTCTCTGCTAAATTGCAGATATTGCATTCATTTATTATATTTTGGATAAGTAGTTGGCTATTGGGGAAATAGTACGTTTCACCGAAAAGCTTTGCAGTTTTCTGTATTCCAGGGTGTAGAAGTTTTTCGTGAGTGCTTATGGTTATGTTTTTTAGTAAAATTATGCTTCGCAAGATTCTGGTATATTTAGTGTTTATAGTCTGTATGTGTCAATATACAACGCACTCTTTTTACCGCAAAAATGGTCAATCAAATATTGTTCTCCTCTTTCCCTTGTAATATTGTCGTAATAAATCTCAGTTTTGTGTTTTTTGAAATAACTTTAACATTATCAAACAAAAGTTTTTGCAATCCGAGGGGTGTGTGTGTGAGTGTGTGTTTGGGGTGTTCCGAGGGTGTTGGGCGTGTTTTTAACTGCCTGCAATAACAAGTAACGACGGTCACAGCAACAATACCATCCAAAATCTCAGAAACGTTGGCTTTGTTTTTGGTCGCCCAAATCCGCTAATTGCGCACAGTTGTCGCTGCTTTTGCCCCCGTTAAGTTGGCAATTGGCCCTTTTAAATTAAGCTCTAAATTAGCATAATGGTTTATGAGCAAGGAATTAAGCAAAGATTGCGTGCGGATCCATAGATTCGGCGAAATAATCGTCTTTTGTCGCTTGAGCATCAGAAGATATTTACAAGAATTCAAGCTTTAAATTGAGTGTAAGTCATTAGTTAAACAGCAAAATAATTTCGTGTCTTTCCACCCTTAAAAATGAATTTAATATTATTTTTAAAAATAGCATTTAAATAGTATGAGAGAGTGGAGTAAAAATATTTATAATCAAGAGCTTAAATCAAAGAAACTATAGAAACTGCTTTAGTTCAGGCAAAATCTGTGAATATTGCAGAACATCGAAAAGAAAAATGTTATAAAATAAATTAATTACAATAGAAATATCTGAAGCTTCCCAAAATGCCTTATTATAATTTGTTCCCTTAAATCACCTTAAAAAACGTGCTATTTGCACAATTTAATTCTCAAATTACGCATCGGTGTACAGATTTTAGTGCAGATTTTAAAAAGCCGTGCAAAAACCAACAAAATAAATATTAGTCGTGCAAATGCCAGTTTAAACAGCAAATGCGAAGGTTGTGCTTTTGTTTGTAAATCGATCATGCATTTTAGTTAACATTAATCGGGCAAATTGTTTTGCATGAACTTAACCGTAAATCAAAAATAAAACACAAGCAAGGCAAACAAACAGTTGGGGAAATTGGGGAGCAGCGAAGTGAAAGCAAATAAAACGCAGCCAAATCGATCCGCCCGATCGAAGCCATAATCGTAATAATATTAAACCAGCACATCATAATCACTGCTTTCATTACACTATATTTTCAAAAATAATTATGCATGTATTTTATTCGTGTTTGTATTTATATTTGCTCAACAAAAATAAACGAGAGCTGCCGCCTCCAGTTTGGAATTATTTGGGGCTTTTTGGGGGGAAAAGTGAAGTGGAACTGGGGCGTACAAATAGCCAGGGCAAATACGCAAAGCGATGAGGCGTTCCAAGCGCGAAATAAACTTTCGAATGGAATAAAAAAAAAATATAATAGGTTGTCAAATATCTCCCGCTTTTTTGCTCTTTATTCAATGCCTTATAAAAAGTGTTACAGTGATCGGATTTAGTTAAAATATGCGCCGGTTTGTTCGATAATCTGTTTCCATCTAGACGGTGTTTCCATCTAGACGGCAACTTCATAATACCTCCCTCGTAGAAGCCCCCCTCCTTATTTGCGAAGAACTCGGACAGCCACTTTTCACAAGCCTCTTTTGAGTTCAACTTTACACCACCAAGGGCATTCGCCATGGACAGGAACAGGAGGTAATCACTTGGCGCTATGTCCGGGCTATATGGTGGATGCGATAAAACCTTCCATCCGAGCTCCCTTAGGTTCTGACGAGTCATCAACGAAGTGTGTGGTCTGGCGTTGTCCTGGTGGAAAACTTCTGTTGGCCAATTCTGGACGCTTCTGGTCGATCGCCTGCTTCAAGCGGTCCAGTTGTTCGCAGTAGATGGTAGAATTAAGCGTCTGGCCATATGGGAGCAGCTCATAGTGGATGATTCCCTTCCAATCTTACCAAACACACAGCAAAACCTTCCTGGCCGTCAATCCCGGCTTGGCCACTGCTTGGGACGATTCACGTTTTCGTTTTCGCTTGATATTGTCGTATGTGATCCATTTTTCGTCGCCAGTCACCATCCGCTTCAAGAGTGGGTCGAGTTCGTTCCGTTTCAGCAGCATATCGCAGGCGTTAATTCTGTCCAGAAGGTTTTTTTGCGTCAAATCATGCGGCACCCAAACATCAAGCTTTTTTTTATATCCAGCCTTCTGCAGATGGTTTAAAATGGTTTGGTGACTAACTCCCATCTCCTGGGCGATGTCACGAGATGCCACATGCCGGTCTAACTCGATGTATTCCATGATTTCATCGGTATTTGTCGTCACAGGTCTTCCGCCGGCTGGCTTATCCATGGTGTCGTTTTCACCGGCTCTGAATCGTCGAAACCATTCCTTCGCGGTTCGAAGTGATAGAGTACCATCCCCCAAAACACCATTAATCTCACGGAAGGTTTCTCTAGCGGATTTGCCTTTAACGAAGGAAAACTTTAAAATAGCGCGAATTTCGGCGTTGAACGCAATATCCTAACTAGCAATAACTAAACATGCATAGCGTCGTTTTGTAGGTTATGTAAAGACCTTTCAAATTACTTATAGTATTGTCAGATACGAGCTCTGTAGCGCTATGTACATAGCCGCGAAATTCAAGACCAAAAGGCGACAGGGAGATATTTGACAACCTTATATATATATGTACAACAACAACAGAGGAGCAACAAATACGCCAGCAGCGAAATGTTTACCAGGAGCAGCCAAACTATAAATACGGAAAATCTCGGAAAAAAAAAAAAATCGATCAACAATACAAACTTGCAACCATAGGCCATAGAACAATACGAAAGCCAACAATCCCCCAGCTCTCGGAAAATCAAACAAGTCAAAATGTATCACAGCAGCACACTACCAACATCCAAGGGTCAAATCGATAATCATAATTTCAGGCCCCGACTTTGTAAACACCACATACGTGTATATGTGGCACA